TTTTCTCTCTCTCTCTCTCTCTCTCTCTCTCTCTCTCTCTCTCTCTCTTATATACACGCCCACCCTTCACTGATTGGCCGACTTCTTCGCCGCATGCCTGTCCTCATTCACTTCCGCATTTTCTCTATATAAACAGTGTGTCGGCTCTGAGGTTTTGGTACTCAGCGCATACACAAGACGCTCCGCATTATAAGGCGTGCTGTCCACTTTGGAGAAAATTTTAGACTTTTAATGGCGCCTGATAGGTGTGAAAATACGGTAAGCGCTCATCGATCAATCACCGTCCGCCCGTCAGCCGTCAACCCCGCAACGGTTTAATCCTCAGGGACGCCAACGGAAGCTGGCAATGCTCAGAGACGGCCGTTGGTGGCAACTCAAAAGTAATACGGAGAGGCCCGCTTCGGACATTCCGGTTGGGCTGAACGATTCAAAACGACATCATAATGTCATCGCAATCAGAGCTCGTGGCAGAAAGGGGGAACTGCAGCATCTCTTTATGTATGATGTGGCGCGCACTTAAAAATCTGAACTTGTGAACGCAATATGGCATTTTATGACATTCATATATACCTGTACATATAGTATATAGCATTAAGTAATGTTCATTACTACAAACATTTATTTCTACATGCATGTATACCATTAAATTTGGCCTTATAAATATTATACATAGTCATACACATGTACATATACCTGTATAGGAAGGGGGTATCTACTTCGCGGATTTCCCTCTTTCGCGGGGGGTTCTGGTCCCCATTAACCCCGGTAAGCGAGGGATCACTGTAGTTGGAAGAGGTGGTGAGCAGGGTGTGGAGGGTCCAGTTGGATTTTCTGTGCCCTTGTCCCGGTTCTTTGCGGTGTGCAAGTCCTTAAGAGGGGGTAGGGCGGTGCCAATGATTTTCTCCACAGTCCTAACTGCCCGTTGCAGTCGGATTGTGTCCTTTTTTGTGGCGGCCCCGAACCAGACTGCGATGGACGAACACAGGACTGATTCGATGACTGCTGTGTGGAACTGTCTCAGTGGCTCCCGTGGCAGGCCGTGCTTCCTGAGCAGCCTCAGGAAGTACATCCTCTGCTGGGCCTCTTTCAGGATCGAGTTGATGTCGGCCTGCCACTTGGTGGCCTGAGAGACTGTAATTCCCTGGAACTTGAAAGTCTTGACGGTTGACACGGGGCAGTTGGATAGTGTGAGGGGCAGCTGTGGGGAAGGTTGTTTCCTGAAGTCCCCGAACATCTTTGTCGGAGGTTGCAATGTTTTGAAAAAAACAACAACAAACAAACAAAACTAAAACCCGTCCGATTGTTGACGATTGTTTCCATTTCCGTAAAAAATCTGATTGCTTGAGAATCTGTGACTTTTCCCTTCCAAGATGTTTTCAAAATGCGACTCCGCATTGTCTCCAAGTTCTGTCGGCCGCTGCAGCTCCCACTCCGCAGTGGTCCCAACGTTGCAAACAGCTGGAGCGTCCCTGGGGCTGCCGGCTAATTGGGAGAGGGAGCCGTCTTGGATGCTGCCTTCAGGGGATGGAGGGCGACCGCCTGGGTGGGCTTGCCTGGTTAAGGGGGAGAAATGTGGAAGATGACATCTTGTTCCTACAGTTCCTTGTTCGCTGCGTATGGAATCGAGATGCATTGTGGGGTGCATGTTGGGCACTGGAGCGTATATGGGTCACCTCTCCTCACTCCACATTCAAACCGTGATGTCTCTCTACTTGTGAAATTGTCAAGTGAAAAGGAACTGCTTTGGAAGAAAGCCATGCAGATTCTCTCAAGGACCCATAGTCCAAACCCAAACTCACCTGCGGTACCTAACATCATCATGCAGCGGACATGAGAAGATGCGGGAAATAAAATCTCAATCCCGAAATGGAATGTTGTGTCTTGAAGTTACCATTGGGTTGGATTAGATCACGGTTGCCCAATCGTTTTTGACCGAAGATCTACTTTCGAAGCAAGCGACCTCCCGCGATCGACCCGTGACAGCACATGCACGCAGGCGTGCCGGGAACAACCGATGCCACCATAGGTTAAAGGTGACTTGCTTTTTTGGTTTGTTTTATTTCATCTTTTTTCTTTTTTTTTTTCATCATCTTAAATGTTGATGAACATCGGCGGGGTGGAATGGCCGCATTGACCGTGTTGAGGAGTCTCATCAGACGGGTCATTTTGCACACTTAAGCATTTATTGAACGCCAGAAAGTGAGAGATCAGCCCGAATTAGGTGCTCCTTGTTGTTCAAATTCCAACAGGAGCCACCTTGCTTCTCCCACGAGCGAATTGGCCCGTTTCGAAGGAGAGCAAAATGCAGATTTCATCTCTGGAGGGTT